ATGCAAGAGCGAACACAGTAGCCAACGCTCAGTGTGGATGTCATTTTTGTATCACCCATTGCTCCAGCTAACATCAGGTCTGGCCTATCCTATGAAAACCTGCTCAAGTTCTTGTGAGAAGTCCACATACAGGACTTTGAGAACTGTTCTGTGCCTGTGTCCAGGGATTTTGTAATTAACAGGTCACGCCTACTTCCCCAGCCAGCTTTGCCACACCCTAACAAATGCTATGCAGAAAACCACAGCAGGTCAAAGGCACAGAAAGCCGTGGGAGTGGGAATGCAAGTTTGCATAAGAGGTCTGGGGGTAATCTGTGGGGTGAGGGCACAGACTTGGGGACACTGGATGAAGAGTGTCCCAGGCATAGGGCACAGCAGATACACAGGCCCACAGCTGAGAGCTGGTTTCATATATTTACAGGAATACAGGAATCAGTGTGTCAGGGTCCAGTGAACCCAGGAGAGGGTGGATGGTGAGAGGTGAGAAGTGGGCAGCAGAGGGTGAGGTTATGCAGAGAACCCCATGGAGCAAGAGAAGTCAGCTGAGGGCGTGAAGCAGTAGAGGGACACTTTCAAGGAATTGCTCTGGCTGCTGAGACAGGCTCTCAGGGAGCAGGAAGAAAGCCAGGTGGTGAGAAGGCTCCTCCGGGGATTGTGGAGCCGGCTGATGGCAGCTCTGCCCACAGCGGAAGTGGTGGAGGTGGTGAGAAGGGTCAGTTTGACTGTGGTTTGAAGGTGCCTTTGACGGGTTTTACTGAGGGGCGGATGTGGAAGGCGAGAGAAAGAAACAAATCCAGTTCACGTCCAGGGTTGCTACGATTTGCACCTGAATATTCTCAGGCTCCTGTTAGATGCTTGGTGCTCAGCTTGGTGCTGAAACCTAGTGGGAGGTCATAGTTCACTGGGGGCATGTCCTCAAAGTGGACTGTGGGACCCAGTCTCTTCTTCTGTAGTTCCCACTGTCATGTGGGGACCAGCTTTGCTCCACCACCACCCTCCTCCTGTGTTGTGTTGCCTTGCCACCAGCTCAAAAGCACCAGGACCTACTTACTACCCATGGACTGAAACATCCAGGACTGTGAGCCCACATAAATCTCCCCTCCTTCAAAGTGGCCTAACTCAGATTTTTTGTGTTTTTGTAACAGTAACAGAAACCTAATACAAAAGTTTTCCCCTTAGAAATTGGAAGAATGGAGATGCCACATACCCAGCTGGGAGAGGTGAGTGGAAAAAAGAAATCTCTTGTTAGTTGTACATAGAATTTTGAGGAGCCTGCTCCCTTCTGTCAGGTGAGCAGTTCCATCTATGATTCTGGAGCTCAGGCCAGAGGTATGGGCAGGAAACTTGAGTTTGGGAGTCGCTCTCATATGCATCATGTTTTAGCAGGTGAGTCAGGGAGAGATCACCACTGGAGAATGTAATTGTGGGAGAGAGGGGATGGGACATTGTGCAGGGGCTTTGAAAGTTGAAAGGCTGGTGAAGCAGGAAGGAATCAGTAAAGCCAACTGAGAAAGAACAGCCAGAGAGCTCAGCATCCGGGAAGCCAAGGGAAGAGTTTCAAAACACAAGAGAGTGGTCCACTGTGTCAGGAAGTTAGTAAAAGCCATCTTTAAAATATCTTTGTATTAGGTACAACTATTAAAAAGGAACAAATGCAGAAGGAAAGCTTCATACTGCCCTGGGCTCTCAAACCTACCACCAACTCTTCTTTTTGTTGGTCCCCAGAGAATCAAATGTACGCCAAGTTTGGCTCTTTCTACACAAGAGACCAGTGTTCAAATGCTGTAACAGAAAACGTCACACTCCAAAAGCAGACTCCTGGTTCCACCCCTCCAGCCCAGAGGAAGGGGCTTCCGGGCCACTGTTCCCCTGCTCCCAGCGCAGAGATGAGCAGTGCGGGCACCAACAGCACCCCCCCAACCCCACATGGAAATGAGAAGGCACTTAAAACAAGTCTCAAAACCAGACTTCCAGGTCACCTAAAACAACCCCAAAGGGAAAGAAGATGGAACACTCTTGATACTCAACCACCTGGACTCCCTGAACTGGCAACAAGAGGATCTGGAAAAAATGAAATCAGAAATAATTACTCAGATAGTAGCAGAGATTGTGCCCATAGTGCAAGACATGATTAATAAATCTAGAGAGGACACAGATAAAAAACTAGAGGATCTGAGGAACATGATGGAATCCCAACATAGGAAACAAATGGAATCCATAAAACAGATACAAACAGATTTCCAAGAGATTAAAAACTCCATTGAAAGTCTGTGCAGCAGAATGAACCAATGTGAGGATAGAATTTCACATACAAAAGATAAGACTGCAATTAGTGAGGAGGAAAAGAAAAATTGCTTTAAAATTGTAAGGGAACACAAGAAATCAATCCAGCAGCTGCTAGACGATGCAAAGAATAACATAAGACTGATTGGAGTCAATGAAGAAAGAGGAGAGAGTGCAGATGACATAAAAAAATCTGTTCACAGAAGTGATGGCAAAAACTTCCCAAGGAGGGGAAAAGAACTTGACATACAGATAAGTGAGGCATATAAGACTCCAAATAGCCTTGATCAAAAAAAAAATATATACACAGGGCCAGGGATTTAGCTCAGTGGTTTCACTGCCTGCTGCGCAAGCGCAAGGACCCGAGTTCAATCCCCGGTACCAAAAAAAAAAAACAAAACCTACACATAGGCATATAATAGTTAGGGTTCCAGAAATTCAACAGAAGAACAAAATTCTACAAGCAGTGAGAGAAAAGAAACAAATCACATACAAAGGAAAGCCCATCAGAATCACACCAGACTTCTCAGTGCAAAACCTCAAGGCAAGAAGAGCTTGGAGTGATGTATTTCAGGCACTAAAGGAAAACAGCCTCCAACCCAGACTGATGTACCCTGCAAAACTATCTTTCAAAATTGATGGAGAAATAAGATACTTTCATGGTAAAGAGCACCTCAGGAACTTCAAGAATATCAAACCAGCACTCCAAAAAATTTTACACAATATCCTAGGTAAAGACAATGAGGATCACAACCCCAGGAAACCCAGCAGAATGAATCCATTGGGTGTGACAAATTAAAAAAAAAAATTCATGACAATGAGAAGTCAATATGTATGAGTTATAATCATCAATGTTAATGGTCTCAATTCACCAATCAAAAGAAACACTGTCAGAATGGGTCAAGAAACAAGATTCAACAATATGCTTCATATAAGAAACACACTTAATTCAAAATGAAACTCATAGACTGAAAGTTAAAGGGTGGAAAACAATACTTCATGCAAAGGGAACCCAAAAAAACGCCAGATTAGCTGACTTCTTTGCAGATCAAGTGGATTTCAAACCAACACTGATTAAGAGAGACACAGAAGGACACTACATCCTTTTAAAGGGAACAATCCAACAGGAAGCGATGACAATCATAAATATCTATGCACCAAACACTAGTGCACCCAACTATATAAAACA